AGGAGGCTCGTATGAAATAAGTGAACCCGACGATGAGAAGTTAGAAAACAAGGTTGTCGAAGTTCTTGTCGAGATTAACGAACAACCTGGTTTACGTGATTACACGATCAGTTACTAAAGTTTTCTAGCTTGATAAAACGATATTTTCTGTCAATCTTCGATATTATTACAGCCTAATATGACTGTTATAGTTTAATTCCGTCTTCTAACCCCTCTCGCCTTCGTGCTCGATATTATAATATTATATAAATTAGTGACATCACCAGATGGGTTTAAAGCTAATGGTATTACTAATAGTTTTGCCTTTAGTATTTGAGACGGGCTTTGAGAAAATCTCTCTAAACAGGCAGGTTTACATAGTTAGTGTGTAACTGAAATCGGTAATCTTTTCGGCAAATGCCAGCTACTGTAATTTAAACCAGAATTATAGCATATATTCTTAGATGACACTAACACGCAGCTCTGAACATCATACATTCTATTCAACTGTAATTATAGTGTTAAGAATTTGTATAATATACTGGCACGTCTGCCAGCTTTATTCTGACACAATAGAAATATAAATCACTCTACACGACACCGGAACGGGGTCCGGACTCTAGGGCGTAAGACTCTAGGGCGTAAGACTCTAGGGTCTTAGGGTTAGGGTTAGGGTTAGGGTTTGGGTTTGGGTTAGGGTTAGGGTTAGGGTTAGGGTTAGGATAAGGGTTAGGGTGATGGTTAGGGTTAGGGCGCCGCCCTAAAGTCTCACGCCCTAGAGTCTTACGCCCTAGAGTCCCGGACCCCACCGGAACTTCGATATGTTCCTAAGTTATACATTACGTCAATATTTAAGTGCAGACGGTAAAGTGCAGTGATCGTTCCTTCAGTTACGCAATAGACTAGTTGTTCCCCTTGAAGATGTATCATGTACAGTAAAGCTTTGAACCCCGGTCCAAATTAATATCGCCTCAATCGAAAGTTGCTGGTAACAACTTATAAGTCAGTCTGATATTTCAGTCTCGGTGTAATTTTGGGCAGTATCTAGATAGCCCGACCACTGTCCGCGGACAACTGTCTGCCAGATCATATTACTGCATAATAACAGTATCCCTTGAATCAAGCAACAGGTGTTTTGTGAATAGTTGATTGGTTACCAGATCATATGAATGGTATGTATGGTATCTTCTTAGTAACGACTAGCATAATTAATTGTAGCGTAGTAAATTACTGGATCAAACGATTGGGCGACATCTGTCCGACAGCGACATCTGTCCGAAAGCTGAATTAGGGATTTCGGACAGATGTCGCTGTCGGACAGGAGTCGTTTTTGGCGACATCTGTCCGAATTTCGGATCATATTGTAATTTCGGTTCACATTCGTATTTCACAAGCTCACAGGTAATCTCGTGACGTTCTAAAGCTGATGTGATCCCTTAAGATCTGATCCATCGATACGTGATTGACTAGTTGAGAACAGGATCGTGCTAGCCGTACCCTAACAAGCTGTCGATCACATCACAGGACATGAGTACATATAGGACAGCAGTATGGAGATCACTTATCGCAATCCACAATGGCAACCAATCTTCAGTTTATCCCTGGACGCAAACAAGGCTCGGAGAACCCTATCCTAAATGGCTTCAGATACGTCTTCGACAAGCGAAGAGACGACACCTCCTACTGGAAATGTTCGGATTTCCGAAAGGGTTGCAGAGCCCGCATCCGTACCGTGGACAGACAACTGATCACTCCTACTCCTGACCACACTCACCCTGTCCACCATGCTGAAACGACTGTCCACGTCAGCAAACAGAACTTGAAAAGAAAGGCTTCTGGTGGAGATTAATACTACGAAAACACTTGGATCGGGACATCAACCACCAATCCTAACTTCGCTCCCCACATGTGGAATCAACACGAAGCTGCACAGATGAGGATTCCTCGCTCATCCAACATCGCAGAAGGTTGGCATCACGGATTCCATTCAATGCTGTCCTGCTCGAAGCCCACAATTTGGAAGTTCCTTGATTGCCTTAAAGCAGAACAAGCCCTTACATTATATTGAATTAATTGATAACATTTAAATAACATTGAAACTATTGTCCAATTTATCGACATTAAATTAAAATAAACTGTGGTAGTAAACTATGGCTCAGATCATATCTCAAATTGGACATGTTACGTATACAATTTAGCAAGTAACAGTTTAGATCATGTCTCTAATTGGAAATGTGTCGTATTGAAATCAGGTCACAATTTCGGACAGATGTCGTTTTTTTCTGGTACCCTGATTCGGACAGATGTCGCTGTCGGACAGGAGTCGTGTTACCGGATCAAACTATTGATTACGATTCAAATGTGGTCTCTCGGATATAATTAGTTACGAATAATATTGATTGCTCAATGAAATAAATGATTACGATTTAAATGTGGTATATAAGTCGTTCGTTTTTGGTGAAGTATTATTTTTGGATTCTTCCTGGGTCTATCATCTACACAGACGAGTTGGGAGCTTACAACACGCTAACAGCGGGGGGATACACGCATGGTACAGTCAACCACACATACATGTTCAGGGATCCCTTAACAGGAATCCACACCAACACGCAGGAAGGCCTCTGGTATCTCTTAGAGCTGTCATTGATTGATTTCATGTTTAAGCGTCGGTTTAATCATTAATGCCACAGGAGGACCAGATCAGATTGTAAATAGGCTGCAATACATCGGCTGGAGGTGATGGGAGCAAGGATGTTTGTGATCCTTGCTGTTTGGTTGGGCTAGTGAAGGGTTCAGCGTTGTCTACTATTCACAAACACCTGTTGCTTGATTCAAGGGATACTGTTATTATGCAGTAATATGATCTGGTAGACAGGTGTTCGTGCACAGTTGTCCGCGGACAGTTGTCCGCGGACAGTGGTCGGGCTATCTAGATACTGCCTAATTTTGTGTCGCCAAGCAAGGAAAAGAAACTTATTATACGGTGGGGAGGGGGGGGGGGGGCAAAAGTCTTAATAGCTCAGTCACTGAGTGCCTAATCGAAATAATTTTTTCTGGTATGACTTACTACTACCACTGGCTCGAGGAATTTGTCAAATAGAAACATATTTGAGTAAGATTTTATTGTTTCGTGTTTGGCCATTCCCATTACATTTGCCCTGAAAAAAAAATGAGAATTCTGGTTTCTCATATGACCGAGATATAAAGCTTAACGAGTTTATCCATTACGTGTGATTAGGTGATTGGGTTGAGGCTAGATCCGCATTATGGGTGATAATTGAGTTCCCAATCAATCATGAATCAAGCTAACAAAATAAACTAAATGCTTGATAACTTCGTCATTTCTACTCCGTTTTGCCCCATTTTTTCAGATCAGCTGGAACATTTAATAATCTACCGTCTATGAAAAAATATGCGTTCAGCATGTTCACAGCCAACAATATAGGTGTTTCAATATTGAATGGACGTGGTCTGAAATATTCGAATTTTCAAATTTTAACGACGAAATCCTCGAACAAGTAAGTACAGTATGCCATCTGCAAAGCAACAAACCTCTAATATATAACACGACGGTGGTATAATACCCAACTTATGCCCACTGACCAGAGCTGATCCAGAACTCAGAAGTCGATAGTAATTCTCCTGTTATGAGAATATTCTCTAGCTGCTGTACGCTGCTTAGGATTTGTTTTTGTTCAGGTGCAGGCTTGTCACATAGGTCCAGGGCTTCCGTACTTTTGGGCGTGGTGCTAGGTTGTGGTACACACTCAACTAGGTTGTCTGAGGGTCGGAAAATCTCCAAAAAGAGATGTTATCAGGCTGCGAGCCACTGACTAACCTGTGGATAGAGTTTGCTAGACTCTATAATCATGGCAGGTAGTATCTTCTGTGTGTAGCTGAGATCCCGAGTATCCATTAACCAGGGTACCAATTAAGACTTTAGGTGTCTGTGGTAAAAACTCAAGGGTGGTGAGTAGTAGGGGGTCATCGGGGGGGGGGGGGGGTTGGGGGGGTACAACGGTCATTAATGTCAGTATTATAGAATTTTGCTGAAATATACATATACATTAATGCCCATTTATGCCCATTTATGCCCATTTATGCCCATTAATGCACATAAATGACCACAAACTACTACAAAATTTGCAAAAATACCTGGTCATTAATGTCAGTATTATAGAATTTTATGTATATGTTAATTTTATAGAAATATACATATACATTAATGCACATTAATGCCCATTTATGCCCATTTATGCCCATTAATGCACATAAATGCACATAAATGACCATGAACTACTACAAAATTTGCAAAAAAACCTGGTCATTAGAATTTTGCTGAAATATACATATACATTAATGCACATTAATGCCCATTTATGCCCATTTATGCCCAATAATACACATTAATGACCGTTGTATGCCCCCCGGGTCATCAAATCAGAAAATGCAGACCTGAGTTGATAGCATGTGTACTTGTAACGGTTCCTCATTCTGGTATACGTTGTCTTAGACTGACTAATGTCTCCACTTTTTTATCTCCGTCTGTAGCACGTCTCCACTGTAAGGATTGTTAAGTTATGCTTTTTGGACACACCATTGAGCTAGATTGTCGCAGCGTATGTCAGAGAAGGTCTGAGTATAGATATTATATAGGCTTATTCTGTCACAAACAATGAATTATTTATCTTATTTGCCCTATCCCCAAGTTCTGATAAGTCTCCAAAGAAGATCAGTAAAAAATAACTGGGATATCATTACAGTTATTAAAGTTCCAATCGATGATTTTTACGCTAAAGATATAAACTAATAAATAGTGGCTATGCTATAAGACAAACCTTTGGGGTTATTATATTTCTTTACATCTCTTACATACATCAAATAACGGAGTAGTTCGCTGTTTATTAGTCTCATGATTGAAATACTGATATCTGGATATTATCCGGTTGGAAGAGACAAGGACAAGTGAAACAAGGAAGTTAGGAGTAAGGGCAAATTTTCGGCGTCAACGCCATCTTCAGGCTCAAATTATTTGTTATATAGTAGTGTTGAAAGTATTAAAAAGTATTTTAATACTTTCAACACTACTATATAACAAATAATTTGAGCCTGAAGATGGCGTTGACGCCGAAAATTTGCCCTTACTCCTAACTTCCTTGTTTCACTTGTCCTTGTCTCTTACATACAGATTATATTTTCAGGAGGTGATCTACAATTTACTAAGACGATATATTATCGGCCTGAAATTTACGGAGTTCATTCTTCTTCAGTCTTGGTGCAGTTTTATCTCTCAATATCAGGTATTCGCTATTCAACCATGCTGCCTTGCTAAAACCATGTTTGTTAATGACCTTCCTGCATTTTCATCATTAATTGAAAAATAAATCAGATTGGTTTATATTTGACTGTCGTGTCCTGATAGAAGTTAAACATTTTCTCTCATTTTCAGATTCTCAATGGAGAGACTACTGCTCGATGAAAACCAGGAAAGAGTCTATCCCTCTGGTCGATGGAAACACTATCCCACTGCTCGATGGAAACACTCTATCCCACTGCTCGATGGAAACACTCTATCCCACTGCTCGATGGAAACATTCTATCCCACTGCTCGACGAAAACGTGGTTTCTCACTTATGACAATATTATGACTTATTCATTCTGACTGAATTTTCGTGGAAAAAGTTTGTTATTTAATAGTTAAAAACGCTGGTTGATTTAGCTTTTGATTTTTAGTCCGTGATTTTTATCTGCAGTGCATCTAAAGTTGCAATGTCGAGATAATGGCAAAAACTGTTTTGATCAGGTGGCTGACCAAATAAGGAAGTTAGTCATCAAGTTGGTCTTATTACGTACGGGTACGGTTAATATTTTAACATAATCTCGAGCTTCTTAAAAGTAACTCCGGGCTACATGGAGTAGGTTAAGTATACAGAGTTTAGTGCAGACCTTATTCTCACCCAGTAAATAACCGAATAACGGTTGTTCAGTTTATGTCCTTTGTATTATATTTATACGTAAATTCGTAGCATGACTCCTGAGTTATGATAGGGTATGATAATCTTGGGACCCCGTTTTATACACATCAATTTGCAATTAAATATTATTAGAATTAACTAAAGTCATTTAACGACTGTTTTTTATGGGCACAAAGCCCCTGGCTCCCAGATCAATATAAAGGAGTCATGATGAGTGATTTATGTATTTGGTATTGGTCATAGGACGCTAATTAATCTATTGGTCATCAGTTCATTAATGACTCATTTTATGTTCTTTTTCCGGTATTTAATTAATTGATTTAAAAGAAGAAATTTTACATCACTTTTGTCCTCTAGGTCTAGCACCTTTTCCCGACCTCAGGCTCGTATGTTCATAAACAAAATTGTTAGATATGGTGGAATAACATTTGACATGGCATTGACCGCGTTTTTTGCTGTGGAGTGCTCGGCAGTAGTTTTAACAATATCACCATATTGTTAACTTCTCGTGCAGATTGTTCTGCCGTGGTGCGGAAGATCGGAGGGTGAACATTAAACTGTAAACATCATCATTCTTGTGCTTTTATTCCTTGCTTGCAGCAAGTAAATACCCTGTACCAAACACGTAACACAATATAATCGAGTTTGCCATTATTTGTATGAAGTGAGCCGTAATTTACATGACTTATGACTGAAGAACACAAATAAAAGTTGTCACAAACCGCCCTCATGAACGTCTAAACGGTCTACCAAGATGATATAATCATTATAAAACACATATTTTGCGCGCTGAGCATTCCACGCGCAAAAACGCGCTTATTAAAAAGCCTTGCGCGTTCTAGAGGGTTCAGTATCACCAGGCTATGTTAATGAACATAATAGCCTGGGGTCCTCAGGTAAAGATTCGGCGGAATGACAGGCTGAGCGTGGCCCAGTAATATATTGTTTGCTCCTCTTGTCAATTGTTTAAACTTTTTATCCTCTTTCAATGTTCAAAAGTATTCCAATAAGTGATTTATACAAGTAAAAAGTAAAGTGCACATATTGATTCTAAATATATTTTACCGGGTGATACTCGTAAACTATTTGTTTCATATATATTGCAAAAGATTTGATCTCGATTCACGAACATTGACAATTGAATTAAAAAGTTACTGCACATGCAATACACGTAATTTGGGGATTGTGCTTCCGATCATCAATCATGTTACCTGGGTACCTCAGGCTATCATGTTCATAAACATAAAGAATACAAATTATATTAGGCGGAATGACACTCTGAGCGTGGCCCAGTAACCGATCATGGAAATATTGATTTACGATGTCAATCTTTCGCAGCTCGGTGGTTAACAGTTAAACGGGTGATACTCGTAAAATATTTGTTTCAAAAGATCGTCAACGAGTCCAACTCGGCGCGCGTCCTGGTAGGTTATAAACCTACAACTCGGTGGTGCATCGCACCGATTTAACAAAGTTAGATTGCAAGAAACATTATTTGATGCGCGGCGCGGTCCAGTAGTGCATCGCGCTACAAATACAAGTGGAAATATAATTTGCGCTTTCTAGCTATATTAACAATTAATATATTCGATCGAACCAAATAGTACCACGAATATTGAGCTACAGTCATATTAGGGCCGGTAAGGTTCGATTCCGGTTAGGGTTATATTAGAGTTCAGGTACAACTGGTTGTATTTAAATATTTTAACTCTAACCGTATATACCGAAATCAATGCATTTACCTAGCTTGCTAAATGCTAATCTATTGCTCGCTTCTTTCTACAGCCACAGGAAGCTAGAAAAGAGTGCCACGCACTCCTGGCTGCCAATGATGCGCTAGCAAAATACTCAGATCATGCAACTGTCAGAGATAACTGAATCTAGACAGCAAGTGCATCAATAATTGTCAAAATCCGCTGGCACTCCTGGCTGAAAGAGGTGCACTCGTAGCTCACTATCATGTATCAGTATCTAGTCTGTTGTCATACGTTATACTTGTAGACCCGCGCGCCGCGTATGAGTGCGCGGCTGTATCGTAGTCACGATACAGCGATACGACACGATACGACACTTAGTGAAACGGCAATGGGGGTCACAATGTGATACAATCACTATTTACATCTCCTACATACCAAGGGCACTCATGTACTAGACTGGGTGCCTAAAATACATTACTAGCTGATTGAGACAGCACTTCTAAGTTCTGAATAAAAATCGCAACCATGCGGCATGCGTGGAATGCTCTCATGAATACCGAAAATTCAATCTTTCCCCTTGGGATGTATTCCTGACAGTGACTGCTGGAAATGCAGTGTAAGCCCTCAAAGATGCGACGTTGATCTTGACGTCGCCAAAAGTACTGTTTAGTTATATCACCAAAAGTACATTTATGACTAAGTGAATAGAACTGGAATGTGGAAAGAACAAAGATGAAAGATGCAGTTCATTTTTGTTAAAAACGGGCGAACTGCCACTTCGTTTCTGCGGAATCGCATCACTTGAATAAAATTAAATCACTTCACGTCTCAGTTGCAGACAAACTTATTGATATTTAAATTTGAGGATTAAACCTAGATTTATTTGTTTTCTGTAAAAACTAACATGTAACAGTAAATAATGTATCTAGTTCTAAGGTAAGTTTGCAGTAGTACTACTACTAGTAAAGTGGTACAGTTTGATCAAATGTTCGTATAAATATACTGTTAGCATTGCAACAACCCGTAAATCTTAAGAGTACCGCTCCAATAGCGAGAGCTGTCGTAGATTAATATGCGACTGGTTTCAAATACCGCGCAGAAAGTGAGAGGTTTCAGATCCGAAAGTATGGTCAGAACCTGCCTCAAAGTACAGACGACCGTACACTATACGTAAAGATAACGTGCCAGAAACTGATGATTCAGACAGAGTCCTAGCAGACCAACCTGAGAATTTGATGATGACTGTATGAAGCCTTAAATACGATGGTGAGGAGTTGAGGTTTTGAAATGCACTATTTTTACACCGCTTCTATTAAAATTCGTGTATTTTCTAAATCGGGCATTACTTGTGAAAATTTGGTTACATTTCAGAAACTTTCAGCATTTCAAGCAACTTTTGCAGTGCAACCTCGCACATTTCTAGCATATCATTCGTCATTCTTTGTTGAACGCCGAACGGAATTGGTTCGTTCTCAATTCATCCCGTCTTAATGTACAAACGGGAAGACGCTGGTAGTAGTACAGTTTGAGTTACACCGTGTCCCACCCTTCTATGGTAAGTGTAAATCTTACGACCAGTGGCTTTGATTTATATTAATGTTCGATTTTTAAGTTTAAAATAAGTCTCAATCAAGTTAAGCAGTAAAAAGTAGACAAAGTCCAGAATTACAGCTTTTTATAGTATAAATTGTGCTTAGTGCTAGATGGGAACCTGGACAAAGCAGCTGCTTTCGATCAACGACCCGCTAGAGAAGCCCACCTAATTAGCTTTAAAATTTGTAGGTAATCCACTAGATCTTCCTGAGTCAAATTCTTTTCTGTTCTATTGTAGACTAAATTTGGGATGCTGTCAATTTAAAAATTGAATTCAAGGCTCAGTTTTGGACAGACAACACCCTTTTCGGTAGAATTTCTGATCTCGGACTGTTTTCTTACAATCATGCGTTGTTGAGTATCATTGAACTTGGATATGATATCTGATAGGAAATCTTATTCTAATGTCATTAGATTGGTACTTAAAGAGTGTCGAATCTATTAACAGATTACGTAGTCGTAACGATACCAGGTAAGTGAAAAAATGCAGAGCTTCCCACTTTATAGTTTCATAGTTAGTTAACCAAACAGCTAATTGTATCACACCCTCAATCGTGTGCCGGACGTTACATAATTGAACATGCAGATCTTCAATTTTTAGCACGCTCCGTAACTCATGATATAATGATACTTCCAGCAAATATCACGCAGTAGAATATGCAGCTATCAGATTCCATAAGTGCCCGCTAAAATTCCAACTGACCATTGGCTCACAGGCTAAATATAAGGGTAATAAAGTAGGCATGAAGGGCTCCTGACCAAACGGGGGGATGCCAGCAAGCCTGAGGCGGTGGCGGCCGATCTGTAATTCCATTTCGCTACATTAATTACGGGCACGCGC